TCTCACCAGAGAAATTCTTTTTTTTTTTTTGGATGGATGGATTTGGTGAAATGCTTGAGTTTTCCTGGGATTTTGTTGTTGAATGTGCTTGAATGCTTGAATTTTGCTGGGATTTGGTTGTTGAATGTGCTTGAATGCTTGAGTAGAACCCAGCTCGGGTTCTCACCAGAGAAATTCTTTTTTTTTTTTTGGATGGATGGATTTGGTGAAATGCTTGAGTTTTCTTGGGATTTTGTTGTTGAATGTGCTTGAATGCTTGAGTTTTGTTGGGATTTGTTCTGTGAGAAATAGATTTAGTGAGAATGGTAAATTTGTAATTTTACTGTTTAAACCAATTTGGGTGTAAAAATGAATATGGTTCATTGGTGTATGTATCTCTGTCCTAACTTAAATATAGATACAACCGAACTCTCATATTTATTATTGTCGAACAACCTAACTTCAGGATAATATTTGTGAGTCTCCAAAATCTCGTTCCCAGAGTGGATAAGGCCCGAAGTACCACTTTCATCGTCCAGTATACCACGTGACAGGGCACAAACCGCTTCAGAGAGGCACTTATTTATTGTATCCAACGCCATTGAGAATTCCCCAATTCTCTTCTGAATTTCAGTTGATTGAAGACAGAAATATGGGTAAGTTTCTAAAAAGAAGGGAAAGATCAATAATTTAAATGAAAAACGTACAGAGCCATTTTAGCAATACCAGTAAAACAGTCAAACATGCGAATTAACAAAGAAAGTTTTAGATCTTTTAGTTAATAAAGGAAGAGGAGAGAAAAAATCACTTTGTCATACAGCCCAGCTTCCTGGCACTGGTAAGAAGCTTCAAGCAGAAATTGTTGTCTTGTTTTGTGATTAGGCAAAAATTGTCCCAATTCACCTTCCTCTCCATGACCTCTTGAACCAAGTAGAAGTTAATCCCACCCTTCCGTAACAAAAGCTCAGTAAGAAGCTTTTGTTCCAATCTTGGTATGAATAATGAAGCAATTAAAGCCGCCCAAGAAGCAGTTCAAAAGTCAGAGGAGTTTGATATAAGGTACTTATAGTTATTTTTGCCTATAGTATTTCCATTTTAATTATATATGGTACTTGAATCTTGTGCTTTTATGCCTCGGTGTACTGCATGACATTCTGTGAAAAAGATTGGCGTAGCTAAGTTTAGTTTAAGAAAGGGAACCTTTTGGT